GTATGAGATGGAGCTTCAAAATCTGAGTCTCCAACAGTTTGGTTTCACTCTCTCCAGGACAGACCTGTTTGCTCTTTTGGAAGTCCATGGTGTAGTATGTTCAATACTCTTCTCCTGCACCAAAATTCAAAGACATCGATTCGTGTTCTGTCATCTTTGGTCACTGTCCAGCTGAGAAAAAAAGTAACTGTGAAGACCATGGCCTGAATCAGGCGTGCCTTAGTGCCTTTTTGCATTCTGGAGAGATCCCTGACAGTAGAGTTTCTTTTGCAATTAATCTTTTGATTTCCTGACTGCTGATGCCACAATCTATGCTTATTATTTTATTATTACTCTGTATTTTTGAGTCCTCACTGAATCTTTCCTATTCCTTTGCCCCCCACCTGCCCACTATACTCTAATACCCTAGTAATTTCCATCCCCTTTTGACACTTTCTGGTTAATTCAAGATTTTACCCAAAGGATTCTTCTGCATTACAATTTGAGGTTTTAATTTAATATATTCTTCAGAGTTTGAAATGTAGTCTGTTTTTTTGTTTTCTAACTCTGTTTGCACATTTTGTTATTATATAATACTTTGTTGTTGTTAGTGGACTTTAACACAGAGATAGCATCCTTATGAACCTTTCTCTATCCCTATCCCAGGCCAGTGGCATCATTTCGGATATACTCCAGCCCACTGTTAGTCCATCTTGCTGGGGCTGTCCTTTCTTTTTTCAGATCCTTCAGCTTTCCTAGCATGGTATCTTTTCCTAAAGACACCCTCCTCTCCCAATCCTAGCAACAATATGTGTAGGATGTTAGATGGAGTTTCATCTTTGTCTCTGAGGAGCACCATGATTGCACTTCCTCCAAGACAGATTTGTTCCTTTGGGAGTCCATGGTATATTCAGTACTCTTTTACAACACCACAACTCAAAGGCACCAAATTTTCCTGTAATTTTTATCCTCTGTCCAATTTTCAGGTGCATAGTTAAATGAGATAACAATCAAAAGACCCTCCTATGTTCACCTACATACATCTTCTACTAAAGAGAAAAAAACAGACCCTACAGATTGAGAAAAATAACCTGCAATGACACATCTGTTAGAGACTAGTTTCTAAAATTTATAGAAAATGGCAACAGTTCAGTAAGATAAACAATACAATTACACAATAGGCAGATAACATAAATAGACATTTCACCAGAAAAGACATTCAAATAACAAATAAATGAAGAAATCCTCAAGATCATTAGCTATCCAGATATTGTACATCAAACAATGAGATATCTCTTATCTATAAAAATAGCAAAGTTCAGTAAGACATCAAACCACAAATGGTGGAACTCTCATACATTACTGGTGGGAATGTAAAATACTGCAACTCCTATGCAAGGCAGCTTGATGCTCCCTTAAAAACACCAGCTGATACAGCAATCCCACTACTAAGTGTATACTCTACATAACAAGTGCAACACAAACGGACATATTCACACCTATGTTTATTACAGCACTATTTATAACAGCAAAGAGTCAGAAGTAACCCCAAGTGCTCATTAATAGACGAATGGCTAAAGAAACTGTGATAAAATTCACATAATGGAGTATTATATGTCACTAAAAAGTCACCAATAATTTGTGAAATACTGCAAGGACAGGAAAGTAGACTAAAATATGCAGAGATAAGCATTCACAAAAATAACAATTATGGTATAAGGCCACTAATAAAAAAAACTAAGGATAGAATCAACACTGGAGTTAACAGTGGTAACAATTGAGTCTGAGGGGAGAAAAAGCATAATTATACTAATTTTACAAAATACACTGTCTCCCTAAATCATCACTGTTCTCTCTACTGCAGCAGTCTCCTTCCTCTGTGTTCCAGTACTTATCCTCATTCCAAATAAAATTCATCTTCAGTAAAAACAAATTAAGAAACAAGGGAGCTCTGGTGGCCTAGTGGCAAGAAGCTGCACTGCAATCCCGAAGGCGCTCGGTTCGAATCCACCAGGTTCTCTGCTGGAGAAGGAGGGGCAAACTCCTCCTGTGCCAGTCTGATTTGATGGTACACAACAAGAAAACAAAACAAAACAAAACAACAAAAACACAAACACAACCCAAAACCAAACAAAAACAAATTAATTAATAAATCTAATCAGAGACCTCCTCTAAGAAAAAAAGTAAGTTGGTACCTCTGGTCACTGTGTGGCCCAAAATAGTCTGATGCTTCTTCTAAACTAAAAGCTGTTTAAATAAAATAGTAATTTATGTTCTTTTTGTTACATACTGTCGAGTTGAAACAGATCCACAGCTGACCCTCTTGGTGGGTTTTCTTAGGCAGTAAATCACTCATGAGATTATTCATCTTTCTTCTGCGGAGCAGCTTGGTGGATTCAAACTGAGTGTGTTTGTGCTGGTGGCACAACTCCTTATCCATTAGGTCACCAGAGCCCCCTATCACTTTATAGTACTATTTATATAAAATCAAATTAGCAACTCAGAAGATTAGCCAGGAACTCTGGGCAATGAGTTTATGTTAGTGATGGAGGATCAACTCATAAAAGGAGTGAATATGGAGTGTAATCAATATTACACATTTCTAGAAAATGCTGTATTTCTATACATTTTGCTGTTTAAATTCAATAACAAAATCAAAGGAAAAAATGTAGAAATATAAGTATAAAACACAATCAGAATCTGGATAAAGTGCAGTAAAAACTGGCCCAGATTCTGACCCAGAATTTAGGAAGCTGAGTTTTAATATACAAGGCCACTAAAAGGGACAGTGTGGTCATAGAAAGAACAATATCTGACCAAAAATAGACATTCTGATTAGACTGGATATCTGCAAAGTTGCCAGAGAAGAGCTGTGATCAAATTAAATTTAAAATAAAATCTGCTGGCATGCACACTTTAGCATCTCTGAAAGATTTCAAAAGATTGATATTTTACTGAGTTAGCTAATTACAGAGTGACAAATTTGCTTGGCAGTGTCCATCCACTCAAACCCACCACCACCAAGTTAATTCTGATTTACAGGGACCCTCTGCCAACCTTCTGAGGCTGTCAATCTTTAGGAGAAGAGATGGCTCAGCTTCTTCCCATGGGGCAGTTGGTGGATCTGAACTAATAACCTTTTGATTATCACCAAAATAGGGCTATGCATCAAGCCACCAGAGCAATGCCTCAAAGGACAAGAATGCTAATAGGGTGGAGTAATCAGAACTCCATACAATGCAACAATGGGTTTGAGCACAGTGGTCTGGGAGGATAGTGCAGAGGACAAGCAAGGTTTAGATAGGTTATCATGGAGTTGCTGAGCTGGAGTCAGCTTGATAGTACTTAATAACACAATGCAATGTGGCTGTCAAATGTTTATCTTTTAAATTACAAATTACTTGTTTCCTTTCTTCTTCATATTTAATAGTAAGACCACAAGAATTTTTTTTAAATTTATAGCAAAATAAAAAATACCAAGTTCCTTTGTTTTCTCTTCCAGGAATCCTACTTTATAATCTTACATGTGATTAAGATCTTCAATAGAACACAGTAATGCTCAATTTTTGAAGCATAAAAAATTTAATGAAAACAAATAATATGTATTGTATTTTTATGTAGAGAACATGGTTTCTGAGGGGACTGGCATGCCTTGTAATCTCCCTTGTATGTCAGTTTCCTACACATGCTATGCACATGTACGCTTATCATTTGTAAGAAACATGTCCGTTAGTTATGTACTGTTAACGACAGGATTGATCAGTAGTCATGGCTTGGTAATAGTGTTGGATCTTGGAGCCAAACCGAAGAGTGAAGAAAAATACTGAGAAAAGTGAATCTTTTAAGAAGACACGGTAGATGTCAAGCTGACATCTACAGTTGACTAAGGTGCCAGAAGGCATAGGAGAAATTTTCAGTATAACAGTATCACTAGGTTATTCTGGCTCTGCTTTTACCACAAAAGAAAACTAAGAGGAATAAAAATGTTATTTTTAATAGCTCAAACGAGAGGAGTATATTTAATCAATCATCTAAAGGCAGGAGAATGCATGCTTATGAGCTACCAAAGAAGAGCCAGAAGAAACAAGAAAAACATTCTCTTTCCATTTCTCAGAATATTATGACTACTAACTGGATAACATGCTCAGAAAACATAATTAAACAAACACATTAATGAAGGAGCATTGGTGGTGCTAAGTCTCAAAAGTGATAGAAAGTATAAAATTTGTAACAGCATGTATGATTTGTTCATTTTGTCTAATACAAATATTGGCTATACTTTGGCAAAAATATTTCTGTAATTTCCTATCAAGACCATACATATGACAAATAATAGGTATTTATAATAGCTAAGGAATATGTAAATACTAAATTCATACTGTTACTGTATTTTGGAAATCTGCTCTCTTGTCTCTGTGCTATCCTAAATACTGATAGAAGACTTTTATACTGATTAAGAGAATAGATTTAAGTCAGTTTAGCTTATTTAAAGAAGTTTTAGTTCAGAGTTCACCTCTTAACTAGTTGTGTTGTTCTTTGCTGCCTAATCAGAACTGACCATAGCTGACCCTCTAGCGAGTTTTCAGAGCCTGTAAATAGCATGTGACAAGTTTGCCCATCTTTCTTCTGTGGAACAGCTGGAAGATTCAAAGCTGATGCAAAGCTGGCAGCACAACTCTCTACTCACTAGGCCATCAAATCTCCCTAATAACTGAGTTATTTTGGGAAAATTACTTATTGCTTATTCAGTGTTCTCAAGAGAACGGAACTACCTGCTTCATATAACGCTGTGAAGCTTCTTCAATGATACATTTAAAAATTTTAGTAAACTTTTTCATTTGTAATGTGTACAGTGAGCATATATAAGATATTATTACCATAATGTGAAAGACAACTCTGTAGAGTAGTTACACATTCTGTAAAGTTATTAAAGCATTTAAAAGATGATTTAAGTCTATTGTTAAATATCATTAGCATTCTGTTAAAACAGGAGAAAGTATTAAAACTAAGTAAAAACTTACTTTATGGCTGCATAGTAAAATGTTCCAAACCAAATGCCAGAAGTTATTAGGTGTACTGGAATCAAAACTTTTCCATATTGTCTAAACATTTTCTTAAATCGCTGATATAGACTAATAGACTTGTCTTGTAAAGGATCAGGTTCTTCTTTTTTTCCTGTGGGAATTCCTGTTGATGTTGCTTTAGATATAACCCTTTTGGATAACATATTTTGCTCCCATTTCTTATGGTGAAGGACCCCAAGTAAGGGTGACTGAACACTGAATGACTTCCATTCCTTTGTAGCACATTGGGCAGCCGGTAAGGGTAGCCAGTGTTTTGGACGGCCCTGTGTCCACACTACTTTGGATTCAGCATTATACAAAAATAATAATCCCTTTATGCTTTGACAGTGTCTAAAAACACCAGCTTTAGGCGGTTCCAAGATAGTCCGATGGACCAGCACCGACACAGTCCGTAGTATATTTAACTGCATTTTGAAGACTGGATTGATGGGTTTCAGCTTCTATTGAGCCTATATGTGAAAAAAAAAAAAAAGGAAATTATGTATGTTTCATTTATAAGCCAATTAATTTAAAACTAAATCTAAAATAAAGACTGTTATAAAAGACAAAAAAATTAATTGTAAGGTATACAGTTCTAACATATCACAATTAAAAATTTAATGACATTTTTAATTAATCTAATACAATACAGAAAACCTGATTAGCAAACATTATAGGAAGGAATACTTCAGGTTATTTTGTGCCAATAAAAATAGGGACTCTGTTATTTGAATAAAAAAGGAGTATGATAGAGTTGAAAAACACAGATATCATAAAGCAACAGCCTGGGATCTAAGCTTTGGAGACATAATTAATGAAAATCCCTTTCAAGTCCATTAGTAAGATAAGACTGAATTACAAGTAATGAACAATTTAGAGATGAAATAAAATCATTCTATTTACAAAAGCACCTAAAAGAACACTTAAAAGTAAATTTAACCATGGTGTTAATGGCAGGAACAGTGAAATTATAAAATGAATGAAGAACTAAATAAATAAAAATGTATTCTGCTCACACAAATGGAAACACCTCATATCATAAAGATGCTAATATTAGGAAGTCCTCCAGCAAGATGGCAGACAAGTGACCTACACCTACGGCAAACCAAGGGAATGCCTTTGTGGTGGCAAACCAGCAAGCCAAGAATATACCTACCGTACAAGTGTAAGTGCACCACACAAACTAAAACAAAATGAAACCCAAAGTAAATAGCTAGGCTATTTCACCAATTAAATAAAAACACAATACAAATGTATCTTAGAGACAACAGGCCACCAACATCTAAAGAATGAAGACACACAAGTGACCAAATAATAGTGCAAAAAAATCTTGCAAAGGAAGAAACAGTACTGGAATTATTTCAAAAAGAATAAAAATAATGATATTTAGGTATTTTCTAATTTGGATCCACCAGCAGCTACTTGGGAGAAAGATGTACAATCTCTTCCCATGTAATTGATAGCTTTGGAAACCTATTCAAGGGTCAGTTATGTGTCAGTTCTGACTAGAGGGCAACACGTTCTTTTATTTTTCTTTTGAGTACCTGATTTTAAAAGAAATTGAAAGAAATCAACAACAAAGCCAAATAAAGGATGGACAAGCTTTCTCATTCATGCTCATTGCAGCTGAGCTGGACCTGACTCAAAGCGGACCCTCTGAGTCTGTAAATCACATAGAAGACTGCCTATCCTGTGGACATATGCACACAACCCACTAGAGATTAGGCTAGCAGAGAAAATGAAAAGTAAGGTAAGAAAGAACTGACCACTAAAAAATATATAAAAACAGTAAACAGAAAGAGCACTGGGATTTTGGAAACAGACAATGCATTGACAGTGCAAAGGAAAAAACCGGAATCAATGGAAGACAGTACTCACGAGAGTGCGAACAAGTTCCTTTAAGCTAACCAGGTATCCACCAGCTTTTCCACTGAGAAAAGATGAGCAATCTCCCATGTGATTTATATCTTCTGAAAATTGGAACAACAATAATCTGGTAGAGGAACTATAAAGAAAAGAATAAAGGGAAGCCTAAGAATGATGTGGGACTACATGAAAAAGTATAATTTCTGGATGACCCAAAGTCCAGACAAAAAAAGCACGGAGAAAATGTTGGCAGAAAACTCTACTAATATCATGAAAGACCAGATGGTTTATAAGAAGGCCAAAGAACCCCAACTACATGAGCCTCAAAAAGAAAATCACAAATACATGTCTTATTCAAATCTTCCAAAATCAAGGACAAAGACTACTGAAAGCAGTTTAGGGGGAAAAAAACCACACCCAACAACCCCCCCCCCACTTATAATGGAGAATCAAGACTTAAGTTTTGATTTCTCAGCATAAATTATCAAACTATACAAGAAGGCAGTAAGACAAAAATATCATGAAAGAAAAAAATTGACAACCAAGAAATCTTATATCCAGAAAACCTTCTCTATTAAATATAATGATGAAGATTAGTTCCTCAGATAAACAAAAGTAAATCTGCAAAAATCAGACCAATTTTACAAGAAATGCTAAAGGAGTCCTTCAATGGCAACACCACCAGAAAACGACGACACAGGATAACATTACCTAGAAATCTAGATAAATAAACAAAAACCTAAACAAACAAAACCCCCAAACACTTAAAAGGCTGGAAATAGAGAACAAGACACCTCACTGTGCAAAAGATGACAACCACAAAGAGGGGCAAATAAGGTTGTTCAGTAACTTCCAAATGGAGAAGTCAAGATAACATCAAGACAGAATGGACTGTTTTAAATTCAGATAATAATAAATGACAGCATAATCTCAAAGAAAAGGAATAAACTTTCTAACCAAAATAACAAGGTGGGAAAAACACCCCACAAGGTCTTAGTAAACATGAAATTGAAAACAAAGAAAATCTGGTATCAAAATAAATTCAAATATAAGCAACAAGAAAACATCAAAATCACAATACAAACCATAAATATAATAGCAGTAAATTCCTATCTATAAATTATATTGCACTGTTGTTGTTATATGTCTGTTAATTATATTGCACTGTTGTTAAAGTCGCCTGTGACCCAAAGCGACTCTACGTATAGCAGCTCTAAAGCCTGCTCTGTCGTGAGCTAGTATCATTGATTCTGACACACCAACCCCATTGCCCCAGTTACTGATCAATCCATCTAATCCAGCAGGGTTCCAGCAGGGTCTTCCTCTCCTGCGCTGTTCCTCCACTCTTCCATGCATGATGTCTTTCTCCAAGGGCCAATCTTTCCTGGCCACATGCCCAAAGTATGTGAGATGGAGCTTCAAAATCCTAGCCTCCAGAGAGAAACTTGGTTTTAGTCTCTCCAAGACAGACCTATACCTATTTGTTTTCTTGGCAGCCCATGGTATATATTCAAGACTCTTTTCCAGCCCAACAACTCAGAGGCATAAATGTTTCTTCTATCATCCTTAGTCATTGTCCAGCTCTCTGATGCAAAGCAAGTAATTGTGAAGACCATGGCTTGGATTTGACATAGTTTAGTCTCTAGACTGCCATCATTGCTTTTCAGTACTCAGGAGAGGTCCCTGACAGCAGATTTTCCCAATGTAGTTAGACATTTGATTTCCTGAGCACTGGTGCTAAGGATGTTGACTGTGGGTCCAAGTAAACATTAATTGTTAACAAACAATCTCTTCTCCATCTATCATGGTGCTGCCAATTGGCCCAGTGGTGAGAATCTTGGTCTTCTTGATGTTGAGCTTCAACCCATATTGAAGACTATAGTCTCTGACCTTCTACAGCAAACGCTGCAAGTCCGCCTCAGTATCAAGCACGCAAGGTTCTGTTATCTGAATAACATAGATTTTTGATGAGTCTTCCTTTAATCCTTATGCCACACTACTCATAAAGCCAAGCCTCCCAAATGATCTGTTCTGTATATAGATTGAAAAGGTATGGAAACAGGATGCATCCCCAATGCACACTTTTCCTGATTTTGAACCACGGAGTGTTTACCTGCTCTGTTCTGAGAACTGCTTCTTGTTCCTCCAAGTATAGGTTTTGCATTAAAACAAGTGTTCTGGGATTGCTATTTTCCTCAAGGTTAGCCACAATTTGTTGTGATCCACATAGTCAAATGCCTTTGCATAGTCACTGAAACACAAATAGTCCTTCCTCTTTGCTTTCTGCCAAGATCCATTTGACACGTCAATAATGTCTCTTGTACCACCATCTCTTCTAAACCCAGCTTGTATTTCTGGTACTTCTCTGTCAATGTACTATTCCAGACATCTAACATTGTCAATGTCTCTTGTGACACCGCCTCTTCTAAAACAAGCTTTTATTTCTGGTAGTTCTCTGTCAACGTACTGTTCCAATAGTTTCTGGAATTTTGCTTGCGTGCGATATGAGTGATACTGTATGATAATTTCCACACTCTTATGGATCACCTTTATTTGGAATGGGAATAAATATGGATCTCTTTCAGTCAGTTGGCCAGGTTGTTGTCCTTCAGATTTCTTAGCACAACCTGGTGAACATGTCAAGGGCAGCATCTGTTTGTTGAGATACGTCAATTTGTATTCCATCAATTGCTGAGGCTTTATTTTTTGCCAACTCCTTCAGTGCAGCCTTCAATTTTATCACCACTCTTTTTTTTTTTTAAATACTGACACAACCCTGCTTGCTGAATCTGAGGAGGACTGAAGCGCTTGCTATATATAAGGTCAAGGATTGCAGCCTCCTATATGGATTGAAACTCAACTTCAAGAAAACAAAGATTCTCACCACTGGGCCAATTGGCAGCATCAGTACGGATAGTGAAGAGATTGAGATAGTTAACAGTTTTAGTTTACTTGGCTCCATAGTCAACACTCTTGGTAACAGCAGCCAGAAAATCAAGAGACAAATTACATTGGTACAGTCAGCTGTGAAGGACCTCTCAAAGAGTACTGAAAAGCAACAACGTCAGGCTGGAGACTCAGGTGTGTCTGATCCGGGCTATAGTCTTCTCAATTATGTGCTATGAGTCAGAGAGTTGGACAGTGAATCGGGTCGAAAGAAAGAGAATTGATTCCTTTGAGCTGTGGTGTTGGAGAAGAGTGTTGAATATATCATGGACTGCTAGGTGAACAAACAGGTTTGGCCTGGAGAAGGTGAAGCCAGATTCTGAAGCTTCGTCTGATATACTCTGGGCATGTTGCAAGGAGGGTCTGGTCCTTGGAGAGGGACATTATGTTTGGCAGAGTGGATGGGCTGTGCAGGAGAGGAAGGCCTTCGATGAGATGGATCAATTCTGTGACTGGAATGGTGGGAATGAGAGTGTTTGAGATGGCTAGGTTGGCACAGGATAGAACGGAGTTTAGAGCTCTTGTACATAGGGTTGCTATGAGTTGCAAGCGACTCAATGGCACATAACAACAACAACAACTGGTTTATTTACAAAATTCAAACACATTGTTTTTTATA